AAAAAAAAAAAAGAACCAATAAAGAGTAGAGAGTAAGTACATATGCCAGCCTCCTGATTCAATTATTCCTGTCAGGATTCCATCCATGTAGGAACCAAAGAGGAGGGCACTTCTGCAGATGCAACTTCTCAGACCCGGACCCAGACAGGCTCATTCCCCTTCTGTGCACACACAGGCCTCCTGTGCATCATTATGCACATATGCAGATGCGTTTGATTAGCACCATCCACGTTTCCCACCATTATGCAGCACTCTGCAAGCTGCAGTTAATTCCTGCCTATTATCCAAGTGCAAAATCATTCTGCCTAATTTCAAGCAGAGCCTGGCAGCTGCAGAGGAAGAACAGCCTTGCCCTTCAGTGGAGATCCATGTGACATATAACCCCTGCTGCTACAAGGACTCCAATCATCTAGAGCCAATCAATTTCAATCAAGCAGGCACTATGAGGCGGAAGAACAATGGTGACTTCCTTCTTCATCTGTTAGCATGTACCTTAAAAAAGCCAGCATGAGAAGATGAAGAGAAAGGCAGAAATTAGGACTGGATTTTAAGGAAAGGGTGGAGGGAGAGAGAGAGAGAAGGGGAAATCAAATAAGAGCACAAGTGCTTATACCAGACAGACACATGATCCTTAAACCACCTGGCTTCCTGAGCTCTAATACTACTAAATTATTCTGAATTCATCAGTTCTCCAAATAATCCCTTGACCTCTCTTCTTAGGAGGCATTTCCGTTTAAATAACTTCCATTGTGATTTTTCCTTTAACTATAAACAGAGATAAGAAAATATACTAAACAGCACTTTATACAATAAAACAATGTATTATCCTGTAAAGTGCCATGTTTATATAACAAAAGACTGTAAAATATTCTGCTAAATTTCTAAGTCTCATTACAAGCAACTCAATTTTTATTCTGTATTCAGTCACATTGTTTGAAATATATCCCTTTCCTCTAGTAATAACAGAAGAAGGAAGTCCTATAAGTCTACACTAGAAATACTGCCACATTCTGGTAAAAGTTACAGAATTAATCCTTTTAAATCCAAGAAAAAGTAAGTCTCTGTACCAGAATTTTTAAAACTGAGTAGCTCAGGGCACCCAGAGCTCAGTGGTTACAGCACCAGCCACATGCTCTGGAGCTGATGGGTTCAAATCCAACCTGGGCCTTCTAAACAAACAAACAAAAAAAGCCAGGCATTGTGACAGGTACCTGTAGTCCCAGCTACTTGGGAGGCTGAGGCAAGAGAATCGCTTAAGCCCAAGAGTTTGAGATTGCTGTGAGCTGTGATGCCACAGCACTCTACCGAGGGTGACAAAGTGAGACTCTGTCTCAATAAAAAATAAAATAAAATAAAACTGAGTAGCTCCTAAACATTTCCCTTCTCTTAAAAAAATCCTCATGGCACTCTAGCCTGGACAACAGTGAGACTCTGTCTCAAACAGAAAACAAAAAAAGAGAGGAGGCGATCCTCATGAGCACTGGCTCATAGAACCAAGAAAGAGTTTAGTCGACTGCTATCCAATTTGGCCATCTCTCAGAGATAATCAAGTGAAGTTCTGAAAAAATATGGATTCCAGGGTTCCAGCAGTTCCTTCTGAATCAGAATCTCTACGGATAGAGCCTGGAAACCTGTGTTTTGGGAATAGGGCCCCCCCCCAAGCAATTCCACTGTATGTGCACCCCTTTAGGAGAGCAGGAGGAGACAGCGCGTGCCCTTTGGGAACAACTGATCCATTTATCCAGCCATCTGCTGCTCATTCCGGGATACTTCCAGTGACATTGCTGTTTCCAGTGCAGTTCATTCTCATTATAAAATTCTTCAGTCTCAGTGAGAAGCAAGTTGCAGGAAGCAAACTAGTTGTTTCAAGCAGAAAGAATTTATTAATTCTCTTAATAAAGAGAATTCGGAGCTCACAAAGTTTCTGAGAAGTTCAAGGGAGCAGGCTCTGTGCTGGGCCTCCAGGAAAGATCCCCAAAGCTACAGGGATACTGGTGCCTCTGCCACACAGGGAAGCTGGGCTGCCTCAGGAACCCGTCCTGGAACTACTGAGCCAGCCACACCCTGTCAGCTGTGGTTCCCAGACCTAAGAGCTGCCTCTGGCACCACCACTGCCCTATGTCATACATCCTCTAACGGTGGGAAAAATCACTCACTTTTCACTATGCTCTAGAAGTCGAACTTGCATGAGTTAAATGTGTTTCCGATGCTGCTCCAATGAATACCTTTTAAAGGCAGTTGCCAGAACTGAGTCCCTAAATGAAGGAGTCTAATGTACACTCACGTGGCATCCCCTTTTCAAGCAGTCTCTAACACCCCAAGCAGTCTCTTTCACCCACACCACTTCCTCTGGGCTTTCTTCTACTTCCCCTTCCTGCTGGAAACTGCTATTTCAGTACTGCACTGTACCTAATAGTTGAAAGTTTCTTCTTCAATTAGGCTCATCTCACAGCATGTCTAGATCTTATAAAGTTCTGATTTGACATTCAATAAACTGCTTCTTTTCTCCACCTCCCCCCCAGCCTGTCACTCTGTCATTCAGATGAGGATTACTGTTTTTAATACACAAGACACTGCCTCCACTGGAAAATTCTAATAATCATATCACTAAGATCTGTCAAATGCAAGCATTAACTTTTACACAGTATTTTCTGGACCCTATGTCCAATATAGCATTAGGTGCAGTGAATGTATAAAAAAGCAGCCCCTGATCGCAGGGAGCCTGTGTACTCAGGGGAACAACAGAGACCAAAGGAAAAAGACCAGTAGGGAAAGAATTTTAGACGTTGCAAATGGAATATCTGACACTGATATAAACTATAAACTACTTAGAGTTGAAATAATTAATGATGGTTGTTCTTTTCTTAAAGCATATGAGATCTCCTGAAATGAACATATGGTAACATCTTGTGTAACAGCCTGTTTTAACAGAGCCCATTTTTGCAATCAGATCTTACTTAATACAATACACCGTGACTTCAAAACATGGACATATTGGGCCGGGCTCAGGGGCTCACACCTGTAAGTAATCCCAAAACTCTGGGCAGCCCAGGTGCGTTGATTGCCTGAGCTCACAGGTTCAAGACCAGCCTGAGCCAGAGTGAGACCCTCTGTCTCTAAAAATAAATGGGCGTTGTGGTGGGCATCTGTAGTCC